AATACCAATATAAAAACATAAATAGTCCTAAATAAAAGGTTTATGTAATTATACCTAATCATTTATACTAAAAAATACAATTACAGAATGAAAATTGTGTATAGACTCCCTTTAAACAATTTTCCTATTCTGCATATTTATAGTGCTTTTCTAGCTGTCTGGTGATTTACAGTAGACACAAAGAACCCCAGACAGAAGATTTTATTACACTGTGTCTACCAAGAGTAGCTTAGATTACAGCTGCAGTCAGGAGAAAATTAATCAGCTTTAGCCAAAGGACTTTCCCCAAAGATCCCAGTTGTACAATAAAACCAGCAAGCATTCTTACCAGCAATATGCTGTCACGTGGGTCACTCAGAGGAACATTCTGCGGTTTGCCGGCAGAGTTCCCTTGCTTCACGCATCATGTGTGTCATTACACTGCAAAGTGCTGTCTATACAGCTCATAATACTTAAACCCTTTAGTGCCAGAGGGACACAGAGTTCAATTTAAACAGTTAATCTAACAGAATGCTTCCTTAAAAGGTGATGACATAAGGGATAGTGGCACTGCAAGCGTAGGGGGAAATGCAGTTACTACTGAGACCTATAACAAAGAGCCTGCGGGATGTTCCTCTGACTTGAAATGTATAGACTGAAGACAAAGAAGTAGGAACTATAATGACCACATTCTGAAAAAAAAGAGCAATGACACAAGCAGTTCCTATACCAGCAAGGAATTATAGCTAAGAAAAGTAGTAACACCTAGGTTATTCACAAAAGGGTGAAGAGTTTGGAGAAGGCAGGAGAAGTGAACAATCTAGGACAACATAGCTGAACTGGAAAATGAGCTGAATTATATAGTTTTTCCAAATCGGCTATTTTGGCCTAGATTGTTCACATCTTCTGACTTCTCCAAACTCTTCACCTTTTAGTGAATAAACCTCTTAATGTTTGAGCAGAGGTAGCATACTAGCACAAAGATTTAAAGTCCAACTCTGGGCTCATCCTCGCACCCATTGGAGCACACCTGTATACTTATACCTGTACTTTTTTCCTGATGTTTTTGGTCGGATCTGCCCCCCTTATCCTCCAGCTGTGGGGAATTTCAAAATACTGCAGCATGCCTCCTATGAGTTCAGGATCGAGAGTGGCGCCTTGATGCCCTGGGCTCATAGGAAGTGGGTAGGATGATGGTGGGCATCACTTCACCCATAACAGGAGGGACACAGAATTATTGGATTGATGAGTCTGCAAGGGACAGCATTGGATATATGGCAACTAGAGCTGCATTTTATTTTCAGCCACTGCTGAGGGATTCTTTTGAAATGTAATTGCTAAAATTTAAATTAGTCTTTAAAGAAACCTTTTTTTTTTTTTTTTTTTTTACAAAATATCTATTTATTAATTTTCAAGTTACTTTACACATATACATTAAAATCTTACAAACAATTCCTTATTACTCCACTTAAAAAAATGTTTTTGTTTTCTGATGTTTACAGAAACCACTCTCACATATGAGCTATTCAACTTAATTTAGTAACAATTTACCACCTCATCTGTGAACAAAAACTGCTCCTGATTACACCAAATATGCAATTATTCACCCAATGGGTGCTGCAATCTTGCACAGCATAGAGAAGGCTCTTACTGTGACCATCATGTGGTGCTGCTAGCTGCATTGCAGTAGGCTTAATGGGTGTGTAAACTCTAACAATGAACTTTTGCTCCCTTTTGGTCTGTTAAATATAACTTTGAAAGTCTGTAGTTATATGTGTTTATTAAGTGCAAAAATACCTATTGGTTTTTCAAGAAATGTTGTCAGCTGTTAACTTTCGTGTGTAGCACTGTTATCAGTTATGTTGTTCTGAGCACTTCAGGAACACGCTCATCTATGTTATGGACAATAGTACAGGAGGCATTTTCAGAAATCATGCCCAGTTTCTGAAATCCTGATACAGTAGGAGTAGGGTCACTAAGCATTATCGTACTTGGACAGGAAGTGTGTTAATGCAAGAAAAGAAAGACAAGAAATGTAAAAACTAATGTAGCCACCACATTTAAGAACTGGTAAGCTGCAAAATATCAGTACAGTACAGAAATACTTTAGGTCAGCGACCAAAGGAAGTAGATAAAAATAGAGATAAGGATTTAGCTATTGACTTTGGAGAGAAGTTTGAAATCTAAATATCAGTAACCGTCCTGTTTAGTCTACATAAGCTACACGTTTTAGAGAAAAAAGCAATGTTTGAAACAGCTAACGGAGTAAATTATGAAGGCACCACTATGCTTTCTGAATTGAAGAGTTCTTTATGGACTTGCCCAAAATTAACCACAGTCAGAAGATACAGGTTTGTGACAATCACGACTCAATACAGTTTCTTTAAAAAAACAAACAAAAAAACTAGGGATGCACCGATACCGATACAAGCATCGGTATCGGCGGCGATACCGAGTATTTGCATGAGTACTCGTGCAAATACTCCAATACATAAAACGAGTACCTGTGCCGCGTCCGCCATCTTCAGGGACCCAAATCCGTCCGCACACAGGACCTCCATCGTGTCTTCAATGAAGCAAGATGGCCGCGACCTCCTCTGTCATCTGCTCCATTCTGCTCTCTTCTCCCGATGATTGGCCGATTGGATGATTGACAGGCTTCCTCACCAGTCAGGAGTGACTGGTGAGGAAGCCTGTCATCATCCAATCGGCCAATCAGCGGGAGAAGAGGTCAGAATGGAGCAGATGACTAGGCTGTGACACGGAGTGGCTGAAGCAGACGGAGACGGAGAAGACGACAAAACAGGTTAGTACTGCCGCACCTCATGGGACTGGGCACAAACTGTGCATTCTATATGTAGTATATAGTATATGTACATATAGAGTGCCTGCAACAATACATTTACAATGATCCTCTGCTAACATGAATGGGTTAAATGATCCATAGTACAGGGCTACATACAGATCATTTAATACATTCATGTTAGTATAATTGTAAATGTATTATCTGCACTGTATTAGCAGTATATACTCTATGTACACATAAATGGTACCGGATTAAACTCAAAAATGTTTGAGGAACTGCATACCTGGCTTTATATTATAAAGTTCTTATAATATAAAGCCAGGTATGCAGAATTGGATATAGCTGTGCCACACTACAGAGTGTTCATGTTCTTCATAATATTAAGAAACTGACCTAAAATCATGATTTTGTATTGCTTTAGAAAAAATTTGACCTGTCCCTTTAAGAAAAAGTATCGGTAATTGGCATCGGCGAGTACTTGAAAAAAAGTATCGGTACTCGTACTCGGCCTTAAAAAAGTGGTATCGGTGCATCCCTAGAAAAAAACCCACCCTAAATGATTGTGTAGACAGCAGATTATAAACTTCCTCAATCAAGCGGTGTAATGGATGTAATTTAACAATACACGCATCTATTTATATATTTTTTTTCACACAAGAGTCACACAATTTTCATACACAGATTTGTAATTTTTTTCAATTGAATTCAATTACAAAAATGTGCGAATTGTCTGTGAACGTTGTATGAATCATTTATGAAAACATTTATAAATAGACCCCCAAGTATTATCAGGTGCATTGACTATATAATAAATTACAGAATAATGTGGTATTAGTCATGGCAATAAGGAGACTGTTTTTCCTACCGTATAGTGAAACCACTAAGCTTTGTAGGGGCAAAGGGCAAAGCTATCTAGTGATGAGATGTTGACTATCAACAGACTAGTGAGATCCCTTTACAGGATAGGTTAATCTCAGTATTCTGCCCCTGCAGCAATTTTTTAAAAATAGAATTAAAATGTCTATAAGATGGATTTTTTAACTGCTCAACAAAGTAGTGGTAGTAGTGCAAATGTGATAGGAGACACCACAGTGAATGATGGCTGACACCATAGAGAATGATGGCTCTCACAGATGCATGTGCCAAGCTACAGATTTGAACAGCTTTTATTCTCTGAACCAATGGTTTTCAAATTGCTGGCTGCAGACCAAATGCAGCACTTTGCTTGCATTTGAACAACCCTTGGGGCACTATTCCTCCCACTGACACCAATGCAATGATATGCACTATTCCTCCCACTGAACCTTGAATGGAGCAATATTCCTTCTACTGACAACAATGATAGGGCACCATTCCTCCCACTGACACCAACAATGGTGCACTATTTCTTCCCCTGATACCAATAATAGGGCACACCTTCGCCCACTGACAATGATGGGGCACTTTCGCTCCCACTGACAGCAACGATGGGGGCACTCTTCCTGCCACTGAAACCAACAATGGGCCACTATTCCTTCCACTGACACCAATGATGGGGCATTATAACTCCTCCCTACACCCACAGGCGTCAGGCCATTGTTTACTCCCATAGCTCACTAACACTGGAACATTTTTTGCTACCCTGACCACCTTGCTTGGGCCAATGTTTACTCTGAAGGACCACTGATGCCAGGGAATTTTCTACTGTCACTGGCCATACTTTGACTCCCCTAAGGTCTGAAGGACAGTGAACTGGCCCATTGTTTATACAGTCTGAGGACTTCTGTTCTATGTTATCTCTTGCCACACAAACTAGATTGCAAAGGAGCACTGAGAAACCAGAAACCTGAAACATTGTTCTACCCCAGCCAGGCCCGGGAGGGTGCATGGATTACCTAATCAGTGTGCTGCTCCTCCTTGAATGCCTAATCAGAAGGTTGAGCCGGGGTATTTTTCTTCTTACAATCTCAGACTAGTGCCATTATGATTTCAGGAGAATGGGTAGGAGGTAATGCTCAACTGTGCACAAGGAGGGCACTTGCAGCTATAACCGTAAGTAAATCTGGATCCTCAGATCATGATATACACCTGAAATCCTGCTTTAAAAGTATTTCTAAAACAGTGACTCAGATCTTGGGAACAATGGCACTATTATTTATTTACACTGTACAGTATGCAGAGTCAAATAACATGTTAAAATAGACTAGCCCCAGCAGATGCATTAATCAGATCATACCTTTCTGCTTGCTCACTTTACGCACAGTCATTGCCGCTTGCCTCTTCTGGTATTCTGAGATTTCAAAACCTGAAAAAGAGACAATAGCATATATGATAAACCATAAATTACCCCCTACATTAACACAAATGTAAATGCCATGGGAAAGATAGGACAACTCAATTTTCAACACCCCAATGTTTATAGCAAACCAGTGGAAATGATCCCGAAGAATACATATGTTAAATCAGATATACTGTATGCTGCTGCAAAAAAACGTTCACCAGTTGCCACCTTTTGCCATTGCTAGCGAGTTTTTCAGCAGAATGCAGCAGTCAAACATGGATCTTACTAAGAGGAATTTAGGTCTTAGCTTAAAGCCCAATTGAACCTTCAGTTTAAATCAGCTAAACACATCCCAGGTGCACCTAAACAAAAAGTGTAGAAAGTCTTAAGGTGCCCATACACCTTACGATTATCGTACGATAATCGTATGCGATCGACTTTTCGTACGACAATCGTAACGTGTGAATAGAGTGCCCGACCGATAGTACTGTACAATCGTACGACTTTTGACGGTCAAGCATGTTTGAAAACTTTGGTTGATCGTACGATGTTCGCATGGTTGGTGGCGTTTCCGTCCGTCAAAAGTCGTACGATTAACACTGCGCATGCGCAAACGAAAATAATTGCGGTCAATTACCGCAAGTCGTCCAGGTGTTTTTTTCTAACTACCGCTGATTGAACCTTGCGATAATCGGGGCAGGATGGGGCCGTCGTACGAAAATCGTACGACGGTTCGATCATCGGACGAAAAGTTTCGTCCGATAATCGTAAGGTGTATGGGCACCTTTACAATTTGTTTGTAGCGCTTTTTCTGCTAAAAAAAACAGCTTAAAAAAATGTCCAAAAAAATTCCATTCATGTCTATGGCCTTGTTCATATCTGAGCGTCATATCGCTTGTAGCAAAATGCCAGTCGCTTGAAGAAAGCACATGAGCTTCTTTTTGGCAGATTCTGTGCTTCTCCCCCCTAGACTTCAATGGAAACTCTAAAAAATGCATGTTTGCTGGGATTTTGCATGTCTCTGCCTATTTTTATGTGCTTAAAACGCGCATTTGTCAATTCACATCAATGTGCTACAATCTGCTCATTATAACACGCAACTTTATGTAAGAGCATTTTACGCCGATAAAATAATGCAAAAACATGGATAAGACGTACTACAAAAAACAATATTTCATGTCGCTCGGGTGTGAATGCAGGCTAAAGCTGCTTCAGCCTGAGGAAAATAGCTTGTCCCCTGCTAGCAGCTGCAGAGTTAGACCCTTGTTCTCTGTGAGGAAGCAGTGCAGAGGTCCAGCACAACCCATACTGGGTCAGACATACCAGCTCGTGCTCCCTGCTGATTGGACAGTTCTGGCTCTGACTTAGCAGGTGACACGTCAGAACTCTGCAAAGAGATCGCTGCTTCCCTACAGAGAACAAGGGTCCCACTCTGCAGCATGCCAACAGGACACAGGTTGTCTATTGGCATGCTGGTTGCTTTTAAAAAAAAAAATATATAAGACTTTGCACACCTTTGAATTTGATACGCCAGCAATGCATTTAGCTAATTTTAACTAAAAGTTCAGGTGGGATTTAATTTTCTGATTGAAATACAGCTTAGTATATTAGGAGAATTGGCTAGAATCCAAACTAATAAACATTGGAGCTGAATCGGAAGACATACTGTAAGTAAGGTGTGTTTCTTATAGCTGAGCTCCAGGAAAACAGCTAAATAAACAGATGAAATGCATTTAAGGTGCCTGTTTTACCTGCCAATTTGTATTTCTATCCATCTAGTTCTGAAATTCACACAGCCTTGCTACAGAACACAGCCCGAACTGGCTGGTCAGAAGATCTGATTAATTTCTGCTGCAGATAACACTTACATGTCTTGTTCCTCCTCCAGTCTGTGATTTAACAGTACAATGAGAAACAGCACATTGATTAGGTCATCTTTCTGTCACTCTGCTCTAGCCTCCTATTAGCATGTTCCTTGTTAGCACATGAGCAGTGCAGTGCAGCTGACTAGCTTCGTGTGCTGCTTCTTCATCTCCTAGACTAAGCTCTGCTGTAAAGAAGATTACAAGAGACTGATACCAAATTCAAATACTTACAATGTTTGAATTGAAAGATGTAGTAATGAATATTTAACTGCATTCATTTGGGCATTTTGCTGAGAGTATATTGATCCAGATAGCAAGATAAAAGAATAAGCTCAGGCAGTTTGTAGATGAAAACTTGCTTGAATAAAAAAATGAATCTTGGAAAAATGGGCAGTAAAAAAATAGTTAAACCTTTCTCAGTAGAGAAAAGATGTCCAACCATCTAGAACACTAGCAAAAAGCTGAGGAATACTGGGAGTGGGTTGGGTTTTACCAGGCTGGTCACTGTTTTTTTTGTTTGCCAGTGTCCAAATCCTCCTGTAGGTGGCAGTATAACCAAATTGTTTCTGAATCTTGCCCCCCCCCCAATAAACAAGAAAGAATATAATACTCTTACCATATGTTCTACACTAATCCATCAACTGTGTAAGTTACGGGTGATGCCTAAAAACATAACTTGTCCCCACGTGTTGCTGACTACAGCTTAGCAAAAATCTTAGTGACAATCTGTTAGAATTTAGATAGTCCAAAACTCCTGGAGTGCTGATGACTTGATGTGTAATATCAGCAAACTCCTGTTCAAATGAAATTTGCATTATATATTTTTCTTTTTTTAAGGCTAGTGTCACATTTTCTGCTGGTGCTGCAGGCACTTCTGGGTCCCACCCAGAGTTCCTGTGCCACAGCTAATCTGTACTCTAGCACTGTCTTAAAAGGCTTGTAGTCAAGTTGCTCTGTGTTCAAGCAAGATGTCACTGCACCTATGCTAAGTTCCTTCAGTGTTTTCTCTTGTGTTTCCCATGCACCCAGTGACTATGACCCTTGTGCACTCCAGCGACCTCTGCACTCCTGTGCCTCCAATGTCCCCTCCACTCCTGTGCCTCAAGTCACCTCTGCACTCCGGTGCCTCCAGTGACCCCATACTCCTGTGCCTCCCAGGAGCTCCGTGTGCTCCTTACAAATGACAGCTGCCTCCTAACGTTTGAATTTTTCTCTAGTCTAGTCTTGGAGCTGGAACAATATCTGTACTTGTACTTGTACCGAGTACGGCACTTGGTATCGGTGCATCCCTAATACAGACCACTGTTCCTCACAGCTAGAAGTTAACAAAAAATGTTGAGTAAAGGGGGGTAAAGGAGAGACATTGCTATGATCCCACTTAATGCTTCTACCATATACTCCCAGTTCACCATCAGGCCAACAACCTCTGGTGTCGGATGCAAACAAGTCTATACAGAAGGAGCAGAAGAAATTTTAGGGCAGAAGGTATATGGAGCTACAAATATAAAGAAAACTGTCACAAGAGGTATATGGAGATATCTGTTTGACTGTCATACTCATTCCCTAGCTTCACTGGTTTTTGAGTCAATAACTAAGAGAAATATGAAAAGCAGCATCTCTGAGTTCCTTTGCCACATGATCAGGGCAGCCATCAGGGGGGTACCGCCGATACTCATGTAAGGGGCCCGGGCAGCCTGGGGGGCCTGCCTGGGTCCCTTACATGACTATCGGCCGACAGTGAAGGGGGAGGAGGCGGAGGCCTGGCCCTAGCAGCGCAGGGCCCCAGCATTGCCTCTCCAGCGGCTTTGAGACAAGCTAGGGCCCCATCAGTGACGCTGCTTGTCTGATGTCGGACTGGCTGGAAGTGACGTGACGTCACTTCTGTCCAGTCCGGTGGCAGATGAGGCCATGTGTGCAGGTAAGAGGAGCTAGGAAGGAAGGAAAGGAGGGAGGGGAGCAATGCAGCCCTGACCAGCCCACATGAGACCCCTTCAGAGCCCACCATAGACAGTCTTAGATGGGCTGTGCAGCATTTATGTTGGGCTCTGCAGGGTCAATCTCAGGTGGGTCCTGTGTCCAGCGCGTCACTAAGCCCTGCGTCCAGCAGCGCGGGGGGGGGGGGGGGGGGCGGCCTAAAGCTGTGTAAGGGGCCCCAAAATTTCTGATGGCTGCCCTGCACATGATTGTTCTGTCAGTAAAAGCAAGACAGCCAGGCAGCTACTATTTTCAGAAAGAGGCTAGCAATGACTGCAAACTAGTGGGGAAAAGTAAGTAATATCACCAGTTTCTATCAGTTTTACCTTATTCTCCTACACTCATATTAATTTAGTGAAGTTTAAATGTCATATACTATAAACACATATTTTTAATTTCACAAAAAGTGTGGTATCACTCTATTGATTTGTTTCTTATTTTATTTGTATGTCTATATGTAAATGTGCCCTTACCAATTTTCTCATCTTCCTGCACCATCTTCCTCTCTTCCCTGAAGGCACGCAGCCACCTCAGCTTCTCTTCTAGCTTCTTGGCGAAGTATAGGTGCATTTCTTCTGTCTCCTTGTTATGTAGTTTAAAGGCATTCTTCACACTGACATTAAAGTCCTCATCTCGACCATCATCCACCTCTATAACATCATATCTGTCCATATCCAAGCGACCTTTATAATAAAGGATGTCTCTCCTAATCAAGTCCTGTTGGGAGAACAATAAATGGATTATCATTTAAAACAGATGAATAATGACAGATTGGCTAAAAAACCTTACTGCTACTCACAAAACAAGTGCCCAATAACAGGGTAAGCCAATCTAATTGTTCATAAAGTGAAATTAAGTATTCACATTGTTTTATGAATTATTTTTCTTGCACTTTTAGGTTCAAAAGAAGCATGGTAAGACAAAACTTTACTTCAGGAGATTTATGAAGATGTGGTTCGTTAAGTGCTTGCAAGAATCCTACTGTCCCTTCTGCAGGAGGGACAGCTGGCTGTTCAATTCTTGCTCTTAGCTATGGCTGTATTACAGACATGATTACTGAGCCGTTGATTCAGAGGACACTTCATGGATAAGCAGCAAGCAATACAATACTGATGCCCTTTGCTCCAGCAAATCGTCATTTCCCAAAGGGATATGCACTGTGCACTGTGTCAGTAGTTGCTGAGAATCAGTGCTACAGAATGTGAAATTCCAGCTGCCATACTATACTGTACAGGAGAAACTGCTAAAACAAAATAAAAGTGAATCCAATGGGCTGGGAAGGTCTGATAAGTGAAAGCTGCAATTATTTGGAGTATATCCATATGGTTGAAAGAGGCCATCTGGAGAGGAGGCTTCTGCTGGTCCAAACACTGACAGACAAGGCGCAGAAGGTTCCTAAGATAGCAATGCGGCTAAGTGACTTATAGCAGAGAGGGAAATAAGCAACAAAGATTTCAACATTAGGATTAAAGGGCACTCACTAGCAACACAGGATGAAACACTGCTGTACATGAAATATTCCATCACTGACAGATGCTGGCATCTAGCAAAATGACAGCAAAAGTATCATACACTGTGCAAAATGCATTGAATTAGGTATACCTGCTCATTAAAGCAAATCTGTGTGTCAACAGTTCAGAATACTGATAGTGTATTGGTGTTCAGAAATTTTTGTTTATATACATTAGGGCCCTTAATATTGAGAGTCAGTTAAATGAAAAAAAACATTTCAGCATCGCAACTCACTAGGTGCATCTTTTTTTAAGCACACATATAATATGTCATGTCACAAAGAACTTGTGGCCAGCATACTCTCAATAAAATAGAGCCAATTTTGGAGGAAGTCAAATAAAGGATAGAGTAACTACCGTAGTGGTAGTTGAACCCAGCACACAAGCAGGGCTTAACAATATTGCTTACTTTTTAGCCACCATCATTACATGCGTGTCATATTATGCTAATGTATTCAGTCCGTTATGGTTGTTACTGTCGTTTTCAGTGCTTGCAGGAGTGCTAGATTTAAACGGAAGAAATATAGAAGGAGCTAGAAAACACCATAGCCCACTATGTACATGGAAGCTCCATTCCTTTGCTTTGACAGCAGTAAAGATCTAGCATGTTTAGCATTATAATTGCATTACTTTCCATGCTGCAGTTCCATTAGTCTGTTGTTTCCAACTGCTTATTTAAGCACTAAACAGTTCCGATTCCACTTTAGGTTCTAGACCTGAGTTTTAGAGTTTTAATATAGGCCTCGTGGGTTTAAAACTTACCAGAAGCAGAGCAAGACCAAAACAAACCAGTACTAAAAGCCATAAGGTAGAATTCTCTGCTGTTTCCCTTTCTGGGCTGTTCTGTAAGGCTGTGTTTTGTCCTCTTAAAGTGACACTAAACTCAGGAGTTACATTTTAAAAATGCATTCAAGTACCTTAACTATTAACATAAATGTAGCTTATTTGTGTATCACTTAGCTATAGATCCTCAAATCATCTTTGAATTGGTAGTGACTCTGTCCTTCCTTCTGGAGGGTGGATACTTTTGTTCCCCGTGGTCTTAAAATGAACCTATGGCCAGGCTATGGACAATCATGTGTTTATGTATTCTTAAATAGCCGTTAATGATCTTTTAAGCAATGTCCCAGGCACTGTGGAGCAAATGATTCTGAAAGTTCCGAAGAAAAGCCCTAAAATCATCCAGGTCATCAAATAGACGGCTGCTAAGCCACTGCTGAGAGCAGAGCAGAGTGAGCCAAACTGAATTAGACAAGGACTTGGAAACAAGCATAATGTTTCTGCTGTAAAGATTGAGAATGTATTTCTCCACAGTTCTTGCAGATACAGAGGTCAGTGATGACTTGTTTAAAAAGCCCATTTACAGTATAATATTTATGTATAAATACTCGATTGTCAATAGCCACTCCACAGTTACACATTAACCTATTGTAAGAAAAGGATAAGAAAAACCAATTAAGTTGTGGAAGGTTGTGTTCGTTACACTGCTGAGTTACAAGTTGTGTTCGTTACACTGCTGAGTTTTCTAAGAAGCCTAACTTATCAGGCTAATTATATAACTGCTGCAGTTCTACTTTAAGAGTTGGCCTTCACAAAGTATATTTCAATTAATGAAGAAAAAATAAAGATAGATGTATGCTAGCAGCCATGTAAGTAAAATGTATTTTATGCCTATGTTGTTTGGATGTTTAATTAAGGAAGGAAATTTAGATAATCTGGTCAATCATGAACTGTTGTACGTACTCTCACTTGATTAATTCCCCAATTTGAAGCTGTCTACCCAAGAGACTGTGGATGTGAGTCTGTTATCATCACATATCATCATCTACAATTCTTTTTCATAATTCGCACTCTGTGTTTTTAACCTGTACCGTTTTGGGTAGTCACTGCCCTGCCGGGGTAATTGATCATGCTTGTCTTTCACCTACCTGTCCTTTTTTTCTACTGGCACAGTCTGTTTTGCACCCCTGTGCTTCAAAGTTGCTACAGTGCTTGGTTATCTAATTATAGTTGTCTGCTGTTTGTCCAGTTCTCTGAACAATATGTGTCTCTGTCTCCACTGCCATTGTTCCTGTGTTACCATAGCTGTTGCCATTTAACCAAAGTGTCCAAGCCTGAGAGATGCACTGGTAGACAATTCTGTCTGTACTATCAGTAGACATTTGCAGTTCAGGTTCCTAAGTGAGTGACATGCACTTTCAACTAGTGACATTGACAATTTTTCAGAGCTAACTTCTACACCACTTCTTGCTTATCTGCAGTGCCAAAGCTAGGGAGGTGCTGGGGGGGGCATGTGCCCCGAGTGCCACTTTAGGAGGGGCGCTACTGGATGTGTGAATAGAGAACTTCTCGCTTGGGGAGGAGCAATTCTGAGCCTTTGCCCCTGGTGACAGAATTACCAGCTTGCCCACTGCTTATCTGCAGACATTGTCCAGCTGTATTCCTGTTAATTTGGTGTGTACTAATCACGGTATCTCTTTTTGCTCTGCCCTGAAGTTTCACTATAGACTGTCACCACGTCCTTTCATCTAAGAAGTCCACAAAAACCCTTTTCCTGCCTTTTATTAAAAGAACAGTGCTTTAAAGTTGTCCTACCTTTCCACACCAAACCCACTTCCTCATTTAAATTAATTTTAAAATCAATATGTGGGGTTGTATTTTGAACCATCCATATTGGGACTTCCTTTTATAAACAGTGCTTAAAGTAAAATAAATATGCTAGCTAAACTACATGATACTTCCCACTACAATCTGTTTAAACAGTAGGATTGAATGAAACACTATATGCTGCTTACCAAGCGTTGCAGGCTTTATATACTGTAGGTGTAATAAATGGGGTTCATATCTGCCTTAATGGTGCATTGTGGAATGCTGGCATAAACATTAAGAATGTTTATCTGATAATTACAAACACAATAATGCTGCCTTGCCAGTTTAATCCCATAATGTTTCCTTTATAGTCTTTAAGGTATTTGATATTACAAAGAAATATAATACAAAAACTGTTCCGTATTTTTATAATGAATAAATAAGTATACAGTGAAATATAGGATTATTTTCTATTCTTGAAATAATCATTATTTAAATCTGTTATATAATATGTTTTAGTGTAATGTATGGGCTAAAAGTAGAACAAAAGACTGTTAAAAAAATAATCCTATACAGCCTCTTCAGTTAATGCCTATGGCTTTTTCTGCTTCTTTAGCAATAATCACGAAGCGCCAGTTTTTACCTTGAAAGTTGAAGTCAAATGCTGCTTTTTCCATTTCCTCTGCAGCGTTGTCTACACTTCTGCCTCCGCCCTGACTCCTTGTTGCCACCTTTTGCGTCTACAATACTGACGTCATGTGGTCACATGTTACAGTCCACTGGAGGTCTGCACATCAATCAAGGAGTACGCCTTACCACCCAGTTCCTCCTAATGGTGCACAGCAAAGCCTGATTCAGCCCACTACTGCAAAGGCCACTCTCATAAAGGCACCCCACTGTGGAGAGAAATCCTTATGAATGCATGAGCTGTAGTTTTTCAGTCACCTACAGTGCTTCCGCATAGCATGCAAAAGCTTCAGATAACCCCATCCTCCACACCCTTCAGTCTCAGGTAGTGACAGCAATGGTTGGAAGTGTCACAATTTTAGCTTGCAGAGACTATGGTGGTGAGCTTAATTTGCATGATCACATGGAGTTTTAATGCAAAATGAAGAGCTGTTGCATGAATAAAATGAAAATGCAGACATTGAGACCTTAATTGTACTTTAAAGACGAATTTCAGTATAACTTCAGATTAGATGCTATCAAGTTAAAAACAGCTGCTTGACGTGAAGTGAACCTATACTTAAAAAGTGAAGCTGTAGTATTTTATAGGGAACATCTAGAAAGGTGTGCTATGACTATGTGATTCCCAGAAAAGTCTAAGTTTTGACTTGAATTTTTTGGGAAAAATATAGTTGCACTGCTTTGCATGTACTCGAAGGTACCCGCACCCTCTGTCATCTGTGGATTCAAAAGTGCAACCGTGCATAAAAATAGTGCTTATAATAAATAGGTGCCAGTGCACAAACCTGGCAGGCCATCTGGCCAAGGTATAAAAATTGCTGCAGGCTAGCCAGAAGGCTTGCCCAAAAAGCATAGTGCAGAAAATGCTTTAGGTACCGTGACCAAGAGACGGTGAATCACAGTGGGGTCCCACACCCAAGTGATTTTCTGGGACACCAACCCCCAGGGGGCACAGCACCTCAGGCCTCTGCACTCCCCAAACCCTCCGGCCAGACCAGAGCAGCACCCATCCCCATCAGGAGGGATTAGGGCCGAGAAAGTTCCCTTCTCTGGAAAGATCGAACCCCTCAGCACCGTACCCTCACTGTCAGAGAGTACTAAGCAACCATCATCCCTCAGGACGGCACTGTTCCTCTCCGAAAACTGATACTACACTTGATCTTAGCCAAAAGGCAGAGAAGCAAAATTACATTTTTAGACCGAAATCGTAAAAAATAAATTTGTCAGGACGAAATCAAAATAGAAAATTATTTATTTTCTAACCATTTTACATTGTTTTTATTATTTAATATTTTTATTTATTTATTTACTTACTTTACTGTTGGGGGCACTGGGGAAATATCAGGAGTCTAAACAGACCTCTGATTTTTTTGGACTTGTAGTTCCTTAGCTGATATATATGTGTGGGGGTGGGGGGTACAGTTCTAGTGGATGTTTATATAATATGGGGGGGGGGGAATGTTCTGCCCCGGGCGCCCATAACTCTGGTTACGCCACTGCTCCTACCCGGTCTCCATCCTTAGACTCTACATGTCAGAAGAGGCTGAGCGGGACGTTGCGTGAGGAGAGCTTGGCCCCCTGCTGTGATACGCTTGACAGCACTCTTCTCCCCGCCCCGCCCGACCTCCTGAAGGTTTCTCTCCTCCTCGCATTTTCCCCAAAGTACCATTTTCGGATGATAAGCTTCGACGGCAGAAATGTCACTGCATCCCTAGGAAATACAGTGCAAGGATCTCAATGCTCCTACTTTATTTGTATTGGGCAAGGTTAGATGTTTATTACTAGTTTGTACTAACATGAGGTTTTAAAATCTTTGATGGAAAATTGTTTGAATATCCTCTATATATAACACTGTAGCCCCTACACTCCTTTTTGGAGGTGTAAATGTCTTTTCAAAAGGGTGCAGAATAAAATACAATTAAAATTGCATGTTTTTGTTGCACAACCAATTAAATTCTTTACTTTAATTATTTTCCAATATCAAACTGGAACTATACACATATACAATAGACACAAGAAGATTGTGTGTCAAATCTGGCATGCAGACACGTGTCAAGAAGTGTCTGCAGTCTTGGCCACCCCTTTTTAGTAAAAACTACCAATGTACAGTGAACTCAGGTCTTACTACTTAGCATTTGAAGAACCAATGAACATCAGACTAAGGATTCAGCAGTTTTATTGGGGAGCTGCAGGGCTAGATTAGCAAATGATACACCATAAGAATAGTAAAGGAATACAGACTGGTAATAAGGCATGAGGCAAGCAGTGCCCCTGATGCACAAGACAGAAAAGACAGTAAAGTTCTATGTGAGAGTGGAAGTTAGAAAACAAATTATAGCATAGAAAGAGAAAAAGGATACTCTGAGGCAGGGCCAATGAGTTAGATGGTACTCCACTGAAAAGTTGCCAGGGGTAACTATACAGAGAGGAGCTATAGAACTATACAACAAGAGCCAAGGTGGAAGGTTTCCAAAGACAAGCATGAAGAGTAAGCAGCAAGCAGACAGCAAGAGCTGGGCTAAAAGCTTGCAAATGCTATGCAAAATCCGGCATTTTTCATGGTAAGAGTGAGAGGTAACAGCACTGTTTGAAGCACAGCTGTTTTAAGATGTGCAAATGCAATGCAATATCACCACATTCTGTCATTCCAGACCTTGATCTCTTTTTGTGACTGGGAAGATGAAAGAGCTAGCCAGCTAACAATTTCATCTTCTTGGCTTGGAGCAGTCACCCTCTCACTACTTTGAAAGAAAACTGGTAATAGCCCTGACTGACCCTTGCTACTGCCCTTGCTGATTCCCTGAATGCTGCTTTCTTCTTGCCCTTTTCACCTCTACTTATGGTGGGGCAATACAGCTGGCAGAGACACTAAAATGTAATTTTTTGTTGCTGCTTTGTACAGCCACCTTTCTTTTGGCAGTTCCTAGCATTTTGTTAAATTAACTTCACGCACTTGGGAAACTGCATTACCCACAATTATAAACAATGTAAAAGATGACAGTTTTCAATCTGCATAGAGTAAGAAAATTTGGTCACTTCAAAAGCACTGTTATAAACACCACAAACTGGTTTGTTTACAAATGTTAATTAATTATCATGTTTTACACCTTTTTTTTTGTTAACACAAGTATGCAATATGCTTTGTTAATTTTTTTAGTGCCACACATAATACTAAATTATATCAGTGATGTTCTCAAAATAATGAAGACTTAATTAACGTGCATAGTTTCTGTCAGTTACATGATATACAAACACATATTTAGAAGTTTTCACCTTTTTACAGAGAACCAACTGGTGATCAAATAGGAAGAATACTCTCTGCTGCTGGCGTCCATACGGCTGGTAGACCCACTGCATCTCTCCAGTGTAAATAAGTTCGGAGCTTCTGTCCAGGATATCATCTCCCTGTCAAATACAGATACAGGTTACCTAACAGTAGATTAACCCAGATTGCAGTCAATTTTCAGTCACTGCATATTTTATGAATATAAAAGGAGAAGACCACCCAAAATAGATATTTCATATATGCATGAATGTCAATGGATGGGATGATGGATGGTCAATGGATGGGATGAGTCAGCAGTTGATATCTCTTATTTCTAGGGAACTCTGGTAGCGACAGATCTCAGCCCATCTCAGAAAAAAACAGCTAATAATGGCTGATGATCTGCGTTAATGGTATCTAGAGGCCAAACTGACTGGCTCCCTGGGTCCACTGGATGTCCTCGGTCCCTAGCATTCCCATAATCACTCTTAACGGTCATTGCATACTGATCATACGGAGGTTAGACCCGTCCGCCATGCCCACGAGCTCTCACATTATGGAGATAAGGTACCCTACCCAGAGTCCTGACCCTCACGGCACTGGGGTTCACCAGTTATAGTTGTTCCAGCGCAGCTGCATGCAGTACAGAGACATTTTTGAAGTAGTTCCAACAGATGTTGATATGTTTAATCCTTACTACTGTTCACATGCAATCGAGCTACATTTTTGGATCGCAGTCTGCGCACTGCTACTTGATCCATGTGTTGTTTCACTTTGGAGTTTACCTGCATTGTTACCATTTATTCTATCAATAAAAACTAACATGCTGAAAAAAACAAAAAACAAAGTGGAAGCAAGTGGTAACAACAGCAACTCAGCCATGAAGTGGTAGGCCACGTACAATGACAGAGTGGGGTCAGTGCATGCTGAAGCGTACAGTGCGCAGAAGTCGCCAACTGTCTGCAGAGTCAATAGTTACAGACCTCCAAACTTCGTGGGGCCTTCAGATTGGCACAACAACAGTGCGTAGAGAGCTTTATGGAATGGGTTTCCATGGCCTGAGCAGCTGCATCCAAGCCATACATCACCAAGTGCAATGCAAAACGTCGGATGCAGTGATGTAAAGCACGCGGCCACTGGACTCTAGAGAACTGGTACGTGTTCTCTGGAGTGACGAATCACACTTCTCTGTCTGGCAATCCGATGGACGTGTCTGGGTTTGGCGGTTGCTCGGAGAATGGTACTTCCCTGACTGCATTGTGCCAAGTGTAAAGTTTGGTGGAGGGGGGATTATGGTGCGGGGTTGTTTTTCAGGGGTTAGGCTTGGCCCCTTAGTTCCAGTGAAGGGAACTCTTAAGGCATCAGCATACCAAGACATTTTGGACAATTTCATGCTCTCAACTTTGTGGGAACAGTTTGGGGGTGGTCCCTTCCTGTTCCAACATTACTGCGCACCAGTGCACAAAGCAAGGTCCATAAAGACATGGATGAGCGAGTTTGGGGTGGAGGAACTTGACTGGCCTACACAGAGTCTTGACCTCAACCCGATAGAACACCTTTGGGATGAATTAGAGCGGAGACTGCGAGCCAGGCCTTCTCATCCAACATCAGTACCTAACCTCACAAATGCGTTTCTGGAAGAATGGTCAAACATTCCCATAGACACACTCCTAAACCTTGTGGACGCCTTCCCAGAAGAGTTGAAGCTGTTATAGGTGCAAAGGGTGGGACAACTCAATATTGAACCCTACGGACTAAGACTGGGATGCCATTAAATTTTATGTGCGTGTAAAGGCAGGTGTCCCAATACTTTTAACAATATAGTACATATACTTTAGAAAAAGTTTCAGTGCGATCCAGGAATCAACAACTTAGGTGCACTTTATACTTGGATCTCAACATGCAGGCCAAATTGAGAGCTGTGGTGCAGGTCGCAATTACCAAAATACAAAGTGTATTGCCATCTGTTAATGTAACCTATAGACATGTGCAATCAATGTATTGTTTGGTGCAGGGGAGTTGAGCTTATCAGACTGCATGACTCTGGGTTCAAGGATCCCTGGGCATATGGGATTATATTTCTAACTGACAATAACTATTGTTATTAATTACATAAAGCTCCAGGCAAACTGCCAAAAATTGCTGAACTGAATATACAGTGTGTAGGTTGTTTTATGTGCCAAAAAAATTCAAACTCAATTCAGCCAGTGTTGTGATTCACACACCTCTGCCTGGTGTATAGACAGGCAGCTTACAACTGTTCAGTTTACTAGTTTACTCGCTTTGTGAAACCTGCCAGCTATCTGAATAATGACTTTGTCGTTGACTCTGGACAATGGAGTGTGATGGTTCTGAAGAATTACAACTGCATGCTGACTGTCCAGGGTGACAGAGGTGTCTGAATCACACATTTAGATGAACAGAATTACAAATCTGTTGGCGTGTAAAATAATCTGAATACTATATATAAAGTTACACAATTTGTACATTTAAGCTGCTTACCTAAAGATATGGTGTAATCCCCTCTTCGGGTATATCAAAAATGTATATAAATAAGTTATGGACAAAGTTAATCAATCCGAAAGGGTGGGGAATTTCCAAAGAGTGAATATGCAAATTTAATATATATAGTGACATGGTATGGTGTGGTATCAGTATGGATAGGCCCGCCCATACTGATGTGGGGATAAGCCATATAGTAATCTACCATCTTGAAACAAGTGTTGAAGATTTCACTGGATTCACTTTTTCAATTTATCACCGATCACATTCCTTTGTTTTTTTGTATAAAGAATGAATCACCAGTTGGGATTATTTTAAGTTGTATTGTCCACGGGCAACATAACTGTACACAAAAGTTTAGATATTATTTGATGCACAGTTTTTTCTTTTCACCAGGAGGATATAAGAATATAATTATTGTTTATGTTGTGGCATTTCACAAATATTTTTTCACCGCCATTGGAACACAATAGATTATTTTGTCACTATATATATTAAATTTGCATATTCACTCTTTGGAAATTCCCCACCCTTTAGGATTGATTAACTTTGTCCATAACTTATTTATATACATTTTTGATATACCCGAAGAGGGGATTACACTTTATTCACTTTAATAGCGCTGCACACTCAAAATCTTTTTTATCTTCACAAAACATAGCGCAGCAGCTCTCACATCGCACCCAGTCCAGAAGCGCAGATTTTACATTGTTTCATACCTAAAGATATGATTTAAATCTTTTGAAATGTAACGTATAATGTGTTGAATTGTCTGAATCAAACTGCAATATTCTTGGTGGGCAAACAGTTCAATTTCATTTGTTTAACAATTTGACAAGAGATTCAATTTAAGCTCACTGGACAATACTACTAGAACCGCTGGCTGGCTGTGTTGGGATTATCCTACATTGCATATCTGTTCTACAGCAAACACTGCTGGTCTTAAGAGTCTCCTATATTATCTTCCATTATGTGTCAGAGACGGATAAGGAATCAGGCAGGGAAATATCCAGAAATGTAAGAGTGAATGGCAGTGTATACATTCTCTCTTGATGTGTGAAGGGTGAAGACTCCTGAACCAGCCATGACACAGCTGCAGCAAAGAGTGAGGTTCAGAGAAACAGGACTGTAAAACATTTATGTAATGACAGGCAACATTTAACTTGACAATGGGATGCCCTATTGGAAGTGCACAATAATACACTAAGGCATCTAATTGACATATCTATGCTTGCATTGACACCCAAAGATGGGACTTATGACACTATGATACATAAGGTTGATTATGTTTCCCTAACATCTACTCTATCAGTTCCAAGGTGAAAAAAATTAGTTAGATACCTAGTTGGGTCAACTTGCAGGATGCAATACATTGTAGTACCCGCTTTGTTTAGGACAGACTGTTCTCAAATGGTCTGAGAAACAGCTGGTTGGACTACAAGACAGAGCGGTTAGGAAAAACATTTACAGAGTTATTTACTTAAGGGTGAAGAGTTTGGAGAAGGCAGGAGAAGTGAACAATCTAGGACAACATAGTTGAACTGGAAAGTGAGCTGAATTGGAGAATTTTTCCAAATCAGCTATTTTGTCCTAGATTGTTCACTTTCCCTGCCTTCTCCATACTCTTCATACTTTAGTAAATAACCCTGGAAATATTATTATAGATTGGATCTTTAGTTTTTGGGGTTTTTTTTGTATATTGTTTCACTGCTCAAAGCAATCCATAAATTTTCAAGTGCTCAATCCAGCCAAAAGCCTCCGCTGTTGAAGACAATCAGATCCCTGAGCCATGATTAAATTAATTTTTACATTAGATTCCATGAAATAATGGAATAATTAACATTTGTATCCGATATATGTCACTAATAACCACACACACCGCCTTTATTTTCCTTTTCCTTTAACCTGCATTTTTTTGCTTTCCTCCATTAGATATATATGATGTGGAAGTTGGTTAATGCCCTTTTGTAATTAAAACATTTTACTTGTAAATGTATCAGTTCATTCATAGCTGTTGCAATATTCTATAATTTACCTGAACCACAATAATTACAAAAAATGCATAAAAAGTTAAAAAAGGACCCATGCTTCCGTCCCTGTAGAGCCATTTTCTATTCTCATCCTAAACATTTTCACATCAGAGCATGTGTAACCCACAGGCAACACGTCATGTTGGTAGGTATTGGTGAGCTACAGGTCTGTAGAGAATGTGCGTCACCCTGTTCATCTACACTTACTTGAGTGCCACCCAAGAGGTGGTTGCATCAACGCCTTGGTGAGCTACAGGTCTGTAGAGAATGTGGTGGAATTTGGACTGTCACCCTGTTCATCTACACTTACTTGAGTACCACCCAAGAGGTGGTTGCATCAACGCCTTGAAAGTAACAGCTTGGTAAATACAAAGAACTAAACCATTAGAAGATTTCGATTGCTAATAACACTGTTCAGGCACATTGTATGAAAGGGAGTTATTTACTTGTGGAGTGGGTGCAGTAATTCCTGATTTAGTGAGTGGCAGAGCTGTGTTCTAATTAGGGACTCACAGACTGATTAGCACTGCAGGCAAGGGGGAGATCAGACGGGAGGGAAAGCAAAAGCAACGTTTCTCTTTTTTTTCCACCAGGCTCCCTTTTTGATG